CTAGCGTAAAATAGCAGCTTAATGCAAATAAAAAAAAATCTATAAAATGAAATGCTTCAGCTAATTTTAACAATAAAATTAGGCGCCAAAATGTTTCGTAACAACATCCCGCCATTTTCCAGTGTCACCTTTATGTTTTTTTTTTTACAAGAACGCGCACAGACAACGCGTCAACAAAATTAAATTCTGGAGTAACGCCAATGGCGTCTCGGTTTACCAAAACCTAGACAAATTTACGTACACTGAAGGTTGGTGGACGTCGACTAAAAATAATTTAGCTAAGTGGTTGCATAAGGAGGTTGCATGCTTCAAATATAATATTGATGAAGTCCTCCGGCGTCATCATCAAGACATAATTGCTAAAGTCGCGTATTTTTTATTTATAGAATAATGGTGACAAACGGGCAAACAGTCCATTTTATGGTAAGTAAATGCTGCAGCCTATAGACATCTATACATCTATCTTCACTTGATGACACTTCTTTAATTTTCAAATTAAGTCAACAATTGCTAAAATATGACGAAGTAAATAATGCTATATCTAAATTAGTAAATTGGTTCAATGTTAATAATTTGCATTTAAATGGCACTAAAACGAAATGTATGAAATTTATGACTCCAAATGTCAAACAATTAAATACTAATGTAATTTTAAATGGGGAGAAACCGAGTCTTGTAGATACCACCATTTTTCTTGGAATCACACTAGACGCGAAGCTTCAATGGAGCCCCCATATATCAAAACTAGCAAGCAGACTTAGTTCTGCAGTATATGCCGTAAAAAAGTTTAGAAGTCTAACTAGTGTTGAAACAGCTAGACTAGTTTACTTTAGCTATTTCCATAGCATAATGTCGTATGGTATTTTGCTATGGGGACACGCAGCTGACACTGAAATTATATTTGTTTTACAGAAGAGGGCCATAAGAGCAATTTATGATTTAAAGCCTAAAGAGTCGCTGCGACATAAATTTAAGGATATTAATATATTAACTTCGGCCTCTCAATACATTTATGAAAATGTAATGTACGTACACAAAAATAAAAGTAGTTTTACAAAAATAAGTGATATTCATTCTGTAAATACTACGAACAGACACAAGCTAGTAGTACCAGTTACTCGAGTCAGTAATTCATTCTTGGGGCGATGTATACGCTTTTACAACAAAATTCCAGAAAATATACAAAATTTGACCTGCCCAAAGTTAAAAAACTTTATTAAAATTAAGTTTGTATAAAAAGAATAACCCCTGGAAATGAGGTGATCGCTACCAAGCTATTTCTAATTTGTTGTGTTGTTAATTTGTGTAAAATACATGATTGTAAGCTGTTATTTAAAAAAAAAGTCCCGCTGGGTTTCTTGCTGGTTCTTCCCAGGACAGAGGTTTTTTTTCGAACCGGTGGTAATTATACAAAAGAGTGACTTTCAATAAGTATTATTTATAATCTATATTGAATAAAAAAGTTTCTGTTTCTTCAATTAAAAATCAAAATGCAGATGCGTTGTCCTCCCTAAGGACTAAGATGGAATGCCTCGTTTCCATTAAAAAGGTGTCTCCGCTCTACACTCACCGTACGAAAAACAGCATAATTAAGCTGCTATTTTACGTTGGTATTCTGTGAGAGCGTCGTCCTTCCCCGGTTGAGTAGACCCATTCGTGCTACAACCATAATATAGCTGCAGCATGGCTCTACCATGTATTCTCTGTTATGAATATATTTTTCTTAATTCTCACGTTTTTGTGTTTTTTTGCAAAATAATTATATTATAAAACTGTTCTTAGACACCCTAAATCTGAAATAAAACAAATCTGAAAACCGAATTAACTAAGTAAGGTTGGTATGCTGAAACCTTAAAAGATTACTGTTGTAATCGCTTTCTTTACGAAGTTACGAACAATATTACTAATGGCTAATGGGATAGCTCTTTAACGATGCCCAGTGTGTCAAACAAGTTCAAGGCTATCGCATTTATGATATTAGGTGAAATGGTTATTTATTATCTGTAGCATTTATTGACATATTGTAGCTGTTAGTTTTGGTAAGCTAGTTTTTTTTTTAGAATAAGCGTGACAAACGAACACACAGTCAACTTGATGGTAAGTGGATGCTGTGACCTATAGACATCTAGGTACATCTATCCTCAATTAAGAATTTAAATTTAGACGCGTTGGCAAACCTGAAGACTGAGATATGTAATGTCTCGTTTCCATAAAAAAGGGCCTCCGTTTCTCTTAACTCACCATACGAAATACAGCGTGTTCTTACCCCGGTCGAACCGACCTATTTGTGCTACAATCATAATATAGCCGAGATTGTGGTTCTTGACTACCTCCTATATATATACTCCTCAATGGTTATCATTAGTTATGAAACTTTATATGGACTCATTCTTGCTACAACCTCAATATAGCTGCAGCGTGGCTCTACCACTAGCTAGCAAGAATGGGTCGGCTCGACCGGGGAAGGACCACGCTCTCACAGAATACCAGCGTAAAATAGCAGCTTAATGCTGCTGTGTTTCGTATGGTGAGTGTAGAGAACCGGAGACCCTTTTACTGGAAAAGAGGCATTCTATCTTAGTCCTCACGGCTGAAAACGCATCTGCTTTTTAATTCGCAAACGAAGATAGATGTAAATGTCTATGGGCCACGGCAACCACTTACGATCAGGCGGTGTGCTCGTTTGTCACCCCTATTCTATAAAAAAAAGACATTCTGGACAAAATGTGCAAGCAGTTAGTGTTCAGCGTAACTACCGTCGAGGGCCGCTAGTTTTTTTGATTTGATAAACATTGTAGGAGTCAACGCTCTGGTAATCAACCAAATGAACACCTCTGCCGAAAAAATTGTCAGGCGTAACTTTTTGCGCGAATTGTCCTTCAATTTAATAAAACCGCTTTTAATTCGCCGGGCATCAATTAAAACACTTCCACGACAACTTAAATTCAGGATAGAAGCACTTTTGGGCAGCGCAGCTCAAGAATCCCAAGAGTCTCAACATGATTTGACTTCAAAGATAGGACGAGTTGGTCGACGTGCACTCTGCTCGAGTAAAAACCTTTTCCATTCTTTTTGTTGTTTTAATAAGATAATTAGGAATATACAAGTAATTGACATTTTAAAATGGCCTACTATAGTAGGCCACGCGTGTACTCAAGTACAAAAAGGGGCGCGTGTACTGTAGTGTTAATTAATATCTACGTTTCGTAATAACAGTCTATATAATTATTGCTAGAAATCATTGATTTCTATAAAAAAAAAGCTGATCTTTGGATAAAGAAAGCAAAATAATATAATACCTACTATACGTATCAGTGAGTACACATGTATAAAGTTCTTGTTAAATGATATCTATGTCTAAGCAGTGGAAAAAACCACAGCAATTCGTTCAATGAATGACTAATGTCAACGCTTCGATCTCATTCACCATGCCCAACGTAAAATAAACATTATATTTACGATATTATAGTTTCTTATGCTTTAGTTTCATTAACATATCATACTGTATGGTGTTGAAATATTACTGCATGGTGCTTTTTCCATAAGAATTTCAAAATAAATGACACCATTCTTTATATAAATCGAGTGATAAGAAATCTTTTTGATATAAATATCGAGCAGATTTTAACAGTGGTAGAGCCACGCGGCGGCTTTTGTTGTCGCACGGATGGGCCGGCTCGCACCGGGGTGGTACCACGACCTCACAGAAAACCAGCGTGAAGTAGAAGTTTACCTCTGCGTTTCGCTTGGTGAGTGCAGATGGCCGGAGGCCCTTTTTATTGGAAATGAGGCATTCCATCTTAGTCCTCACGGGTGACAACGCATCTACATTTTGATTTGTAATAGAGGATAGATGTAGATGTCTATGGGCCGCAGCAACCACTTACCATCAGGTGGACTGTGTGCTCGTTTGTCACCCTTATACTATAAAAAAAAGCCAAATAAAAGTGATAGCCAGTATATCTCTCTCTATTTTTTTAGAAATGGTGTATCTTTAGCTGTAGAGTGCATCTATCTGCCAATTCAAATAAATGTAAATTCATTAATAAAAAATATAGCGAACAAATGCAATTTTTATTTTTATATTACCAATTATGATAAATATATACCATTCTATGAAATGGAGAGTTCTAGATCTAGACAGCGAAACCAAATGAAATCTACGAGGAAAAGAGATAGCGATGTTTAAACGAGTTTGTATCTTAAGTTCCTTGCGAAGCTACGAGGGCAATGGCCTAAGAGTCAAGGCCATGGAATCTAGGCGAGCGTTATCGTCTCGCGTCCTTCGTTCACTCATTAATGATAACATTAACAGTTGTTCTATATAGTTATTATAGTTTTATTTTTATAGACAAGCGGAACATAAAGTACCTATAAGATATCATGCTTAGTTCGGTAAGATAGTTTTTCACAAATAGCTTTGTGGCTCATTATTCGTTTTAGTTATTTTTAATAATTTAGAACTTATTTAACTTAGATTTTTTCGAATTGGGAAATTGGATTGAATTAAAATTTTCTTTATAGCACATCGTCTATTATATTTATGCAATCATGTTATTAATATTTTTTATCTTTTTGTTTCAGATTTGTTCCTGTTTCCAGCAGTTGAAATGTTGCCGTCACTGAAACTTTAATTCCTTATGTCAAGAAGGCACACGGCGTTTATAACTCAAACGTATTTTAACTCGGAAAGTGTGTTTTTCAAAAGTGTGAAATCGAGGACTAGCCGGTCCTTGATGAACCCGACAACATACAACCCTTGCGCTCGTATTCTTTGCATTTCGAAGAAACCCTGTCGTTACTCTGCTAGAGATCCTAGATTAAGACATTGGTCCAGAGAACTAATCGTGTCGTCCACTTAGACGGATTGTCGTATTTGGATTTCAAATCCAATATCGGTATTCATTTTCGTCCCGAAGAGGGAATATATATAAACACCGATAAGTACACGTTCGTTCGTACTTAGGCTCGTACTTAAGAAAGGCTCGGTCGCGAAACTAATGGAATCGCAGAGAACTTACGCAAATGGAATTCCAGGTAAAGAGAAAAAGATCGAGAATGAGCACAAAATACCGTCTGAAGAGGAGAAGACTACGTCACCATTGCTTAACAGTATCAACGACGTTAAGTATATAGATTCCGTCAACGATGAACATAATCTCGCAACCGATTTAAAAATATCCAAAAATGATTTAAATATAGTAAACTCCATCAAGACGGATGTGAATGGTGAAAAGGATGCAAATCATCTTGCTGTAGCTTATCACAAGGATGAAAATGGCGACGATGATGCAAAATCGACAAATGAAGGTGTTAAATTTTTGGGACTTGGAGATGCTGATAGTATTTGTTCAAGTAAGCCATCTGCCGAACAACCACCAGAGATTCCGGATGGTGGATGGGGCTGGGTAGTAGTAGCATCTTCATTTCTTATTGCAACAGTTGCAGATGGCCTAGCATTCTCTTATGGCTTGATACATAATGAGTTTGTTGATTATTTTGAGAAGAGCGAAGCGAAAACTTCCCTCATTGGAAGTTTGTTTATTTCTGTTCCATTGATAGCAGGCCCAATAATGAGTGCACTCGTTGATCGATATGGATGCCGTAATATGACAATTTTAGGAGGAATATCTTCCACAATAGGCTTTGTAGCTGCTTCTTTCTGTAACTCGGTGGAAACGTTATATATCACATATGGTATTATTGCTGGATTAGGTATGGGCTTATTGTATGTTACCGCGGTGGTATCAATTGCATACTGGTTTGAGAAACGTCGAAATTTGGCAGTTGGTTTAGGATCTTGTGGAGTTGGTTTCGGTACTTTCATTTATTCTCCGTTGACTACGTACTTACTAGAGGAGTACGCTTGGAGGGGAGCTCTGTTACTCCTTGCTGGCACAGTACTTAACGTGTGTGTATGTGGTGCTGTTATGAGAGACCCGGAATGGCTAACTTTAGAACAGAAAAAACAAAGAAAATTAAGTAAATCCAAAAGATCATCTAGCTATATGTCTGTGTCAGCAAAATCAGGCGGAGGAGAGTCTGTATATCCTGGTGTAGAAGAATTAAGATCATTACTGAAAAGTGGGGAAACACCAGAATATATACTAACAGCCTTAGTAGCGTCTATTGCTGAATCAGAAAATCTGGAAGCTGCGACGAAAATGAATGCGGATCTTTCTCAACAGCATAAAGTGAGCTCTGTAATTAACTTACCAACATTTTTAAGGCAGAGTGAAAAGGTACCAGCAGAAGTTCTAGATCAATTAATATCAAACAAACGCCTTTACAATATAATCTTGACAAACTATCCATCACTTCTTGCTTTACGAAGTAACTCTGAACAGAAACTTGCAATTGAACCTTTGCCGGAAGTATCAAAAACAAAGCCAATAACGATGTCGATGAAGCTAAAGCTGAACAAAAAGGAAAAAAAGGCGTTCGAGAACAAACTGGACCATGTTAGGGAGCAACTTCTTCAACCCATTCCTGAGAATAAGCCAGCCGTGATAGCGCCGAGAACGGAACGTCAGGATTGGTTTACCAGACAGTTTCAAACTGATCGTCATTATCTTCGCGATATTAGAGTACATCGTAACTCTATAATGCATCGTGGTGCTATGATGAATATTGCTAAATATAAATTACGAGCTTCATCTTGTCCGGATATATACCGAAATTCTATGTGGTCGTTGGAAGAACAGGAAGAAAAGGTAAAATACTATATTTGTTTATTATTGCCCCAAACTAAATGATAGATTTAATTTTGTATTCATACGCCTGTCTAGGAGGGTAGGTATCACCTTCATAATAATTTTAAGCGTTAAGCAGCATTGCACTCTGCTGTATTAAAGAGTCAGTATATAATCTCAGACTGTGAGGAATTGCATCTTATTCAGGTATAACAAAATATCTGTCGTGTATAATCGAATATCTAATTAAATTAATAAATGCCGATTATGGATTGCAGCAGTAAAATTACAAAAGTGCCTTTGGTGGGTCACAAGTCACCTCTTATCTCTGAAAGAGCTTTAGGAGCAAAAATGTCAGCCGCGTTGCCCAAATGATGACTTTGAAAAATATTTTGTTTTTAATTTCTCAGACACGAAGGTTCACTATGTTTTCTATAAGTAAATCAGCATTTAAATTAAAATTAACGATTTCATTGGTGAAATCGTCAACCGAACCCGGGTGTTAGCCGCGCTGCCCAAATGATGTCTTTGAAATATTTTGTTTTTAATTTCTCAGACACGAAGGTTCACTATGTTTTGGATTAGTAAATCAGCATTTAAATTAAAATTAACAATTTCATTGGTGCAGGCGTGGACCGAACTCGGGTTACTAGTGCACTGTGAAATTTAAGTCGAACTCTTAGCTCTTGACCTGCCACGACTCTTTCAGTATTTTGTGTTCAGTCTCTAAAATTGTCAGGCCGTTTAGTAAGCGTGGCAAATGGTAGTTTTTTTTAAATATAATAGCCAGTGCTTACTCATTACTTCCTTACTTATAGAGTACTATATTTCGAGAAACCTATGGTTAGGAGGAAACCACCTATACTTTAGAAATTTAGACAACACCTCTGTATGTATTTATTTTGACAAATGTTTTATTTTTCAATTATAAAGAAAATGTTTACTGTCTTGTAACTCGAATGTATGTATTTTTTTTTCAGAGTTGGGGCAAACGTCTTTTGACTTTGATTAACAAAACGTTTGACTTCAACATGTTCACCGAGTTTCATTTCCTGATGATGAATTTGTCCACCTTAGTGCTCTTCATCTGGTTTATTGTGCCGTATTTTTACATTTCAAATTTTATGACTATGAATGGATATTCCGAAACGCAAGGCTCCATGATGCTGAGTATATTCGGTGTTGCCACTATTATTGGTATTGTAAGTATTATGCTCTTTCAAAGACTCATGTAAATCTATACTAATATTATATATGTGAAACTTTGCGTAAATGTTTAGATATTTTTTACTCTATTACACAAAAATAGCTTAACGGATTTGAATAATATTTGAGACAAAGATTTTAAGACAAAGGTTAAGTTTTTGATGGGAGTAAGCGGAAAGTGAATCCGAAAGCGTTTCTGTTTACACAGTAAAAAAATTAAATGTTTTGATGTTACATCCATTACAAATTTCTGAATAAAGGCCTCCCCCAAGTAATGTCAAGAAAGCACGGTCCTCAGCCATCGATTTCCGGCATCTCTTACAGGTCGCCACTCCATTTAGTTGGGAGCCGCCCTACACTTTGTAATGGTACGAGGCTGCCACTCAAGAACCTTTATCAAAAATGTCCTTAATAGAGGTTCCCAATTCGATTGATTGGGTATGTTACGCGATATATTCGTTAATTGTGAACAGATTTTATCTAATATTTTATTAAATTAAATAGATTATACTTCAGGTGTGGTGCGCGTAATAGATATTAATAGATAGTACTAGATACATAAGCGTGGAAAAATAAATGCTGTAATTTTTAAAATTACTATTTATACGATATTCTAGTCGTAAACTTGAACTTTTGATATAGCTTAGTCCATTCAAAAACGGTTAAACAAATACACATTGTGGCTTCGGAAGCCGATGCTTTAAAACTTTTATACACCTTATATGCAAAATAAACAAAAGTGAAATCGGTAGACTTGATGTTTGAAAATCCATTTCATGTCTATTTTGATAAATGAAGACAATGACGCACTCGTATTTAATAAAATATTGCATGCAAAGATAAGATTGTAAAATCATTTATCAGTTATCTAAGCTTTGTACGTATCAACAATTTACATAAGTAGAGTAATTTAATTTTCTTAACGCTTAATGTAGTATGGTCAATAAAAACGATATGAATTTATATATTGTCGCTTTGAAAGTTTAAAAGTGAGCAAGCTCTAAGGCGCAGGTTGAGCAAAATGTCGCGCTAGTCGTTATTTGTGCGGTTTTTAGAAGCTATCTACTTTTATTTAAAAGATATATCAACAAATAAAAAACACATTATATTTCTACATAATCTTGATTCCATAGAAGCTATATCCAATTTTTTTTTAAACGAATAAATATTAATATAATCTCCTTACAACGAAACCACATAAATGTGAAATTATTATTGATAACATGGATCTCCTCGTAAAGTAAGTATTATTTTATTTTGCGATTTACACCAATGGATAGACAATTTATTAATAAACATTTCTATAGTAAATTTTTTTTCAAAAGACCAAAATTTGATTTTATTAAGAAATTATTTTAAAATCTGGGCATATTCACTGCTCACGGGCTTGCTAGAGTCAGTGAGCCCTGAGCTCTTCGACGCGAAGCCCGTGTCGTTAGAGCGTCGACCAGCGCCGCATACACTCACGTAATATCAGTCGATAAATAATATTACTTATTAGGTTATTTATAGGTAGTATTATTTGTTTGTTTTGGGTATAATTTTTCGTATTAGTTATACATATATTTGTTGTGTTTTTTACTGCGCGATGAAGCTTTTTGCGTGTATTTTCTTTGAAGTAAATGCAAATAAAAAAATGAAGCACCATTAGCATGTAAGGTTCGAATCCATAATTAAAATTTCGACAAATATTATAATTTACACTATAAAAGGCTAATTCAATATTATCACCCAACCACAATATCTTATTATGTACAGTACTGCCTCGTTGGTCTAGTGGTTGTAGTAGTGCGACTGCTGATCATTAGGTCCCGGGTTCGAATCCTGGGTCGGGGCAAAAAGTCAGTTATGAGTTTTTCATTTATGTTCTAAGTTATAATTAGTATTACTAAGTTATAGTTTTTTGCTAAAATATAGTATATTATTTATTGCTTGTTTTTTCTTCTTTTTCAAAAAATAATTGAGTACATAAGGTGTTCTATACTTATAATTCGGTAAAAAGTATCTAAGTAGGTACTAATATACCTACTTTTTACTACTAAAAATTTTTAAAACTAAATTTAACTAAAAAGACTAAACTGACCATTTATTTTTAACTCAAAACAGGACATGGGTTTATTTATACTCTAAAAACTATAACTTTATACAATTAGTGTTCACTGTAAAATTATATTCGGTATAGACGGTAATTATTAAATGCAACATATTTTTCTTAATTATTAATTACATTTGTCAGTGGATTAAATTTTCTTTAATAAAGTTGGTGATGATTTTAAATAAAAATAAAATTCTGCTCAAGTTTTTTTATTGTTATCTTTGTTAACAACATCGCCTTTAGAACTCTGGAACCGTAAGTGTTTCTTTCAGACGTCCACAATTTATTCAAAATAAAAAAAATACTCTTTCTACCGGAGCATTCGTACCAGGTAGACATAAAATATATTCGATTAAAAAAATTATGTTGAAGATTGTTGACTTTGAATACTTCCATCCAACGAGTTACGGGACAATTTTGTGTCCCGGAGCTTTGTTTGGGGACAATGGAACAGGTGACCGAGAAAAGGGACAGTCCCGTTCAAAACGGGACGTATGGTCACTTTAGCTATAACCCGGCGACGGCTCCGTGACGTAAGTGGCTTAGCAATCAGTTGTTGCGCTGGGGGCCGCGGGTTCGAATCTCGCACGGAACAAATATTTGTATGGCCTACAAATAATTGTTCCGGGTCTGGATGTTTGTCCTTGTGCAATTTATGTTTGTAAACTGCCTCCACGACACAGGAGAAAATCCTAGTGTGGGGGTAACGTTTTTTTACAATTGAAATTGAAAGATTGAACCCTTATACTTCTTGTTGATTTTTGTATAAGTAGGTAGGTATATTACTTTTCAATGCGTGATACGTAAAAATTAACAATAATCAAAAACACATCTACGAAACATCCTATTTATTTATTTATTCTTTATTGCACCAAATATTTGTACAAAAGGCGAGCTATCTATTTATTTACCTATAGTGAATAGGTATCTTTTAAACTCACAATTTTCAATGCTTCATTTTTAATATATAATTAATTATAAAATTTCATAATTAGATAATATATGAAAATACATAATTCTAATATAATGCAACTAATATACCGAATAAAAAAATTAAAATACATTTATCGTTGTACGCTGTGTGTATTTCCATAAATTATTTCATTGATGTTGAAAAAATAATACTACGTTCGTACCTACAATAGGTGGTGGCGTCGTACATATTTCAAATAAGCAATATATGGAAGCGAGCGGCGTGCCGCCGGCAAAATGCTCAAGGTCGTTCGCATGGAGTAGCCCCTATTTTAGAATTATAAATTTCCTCCAGACCGATTTTGGTCCCTGCAGCCAGTTTCCAGCAAAAAAGGGTCTCCGGTTCTCTCCACTCACCATACGAAATACGGCAGTATTAATCTGCTATTTCACATTGGTATTCTGAGAGAGCGTAGTCCTTCCCAGGTCGAGCCGACCCATTCGTGCCACAACCATAATATAGCTGCAGCGTGACTCAACCACATTCAAAATACCTCAAATAATTATCACCATTCACGTTTTACCTAAAGGACTAAATTACTAAAGTGTGGGTCATTATCGATTGAAAGGACTCGCGATCATAATCTGTTTCTGTCCACAGGAAACTTTTGTCTCTAGTTGTGATATGTGATATCTCTTAAACAGACACAACTTTGTGAATTTTCATAATAAATTTACGAGAATGTGCACGAGGTCACACAGTGCTAGTGAAATATTTATTATCTAAGCTCGCTGTAAGATGTGGCGACCGTGTCAGAATGGATGACAATCGGTTCCTGTGTTTAAATTCCAACTGGGGCCAACGCTTGACAAGGTCATAAATTGTTTGTTTTCGGGCCTTGTGTGTTGAGGTTGTCCTCGTAACTCTTAACACTGCATCATAGTTACGATATTTTTGCAAAAGCGTTACTTCGGGAATTCGAGCATTGGTATTACTTTGTCTGTACCAATAACATCATATTTACTAATCTGTGGTCTACACTATCTTTTTTAACTATATGACATACAACATTTTATATATTTTCTTTTTTTTTATTGTTTCCAGGTTGGTCTCGGTTGGATTGGTGATTTGCCATGGGTTAACGTAACAAAAACGTATGCGATATGTCTGATCATTTGTGGTGTTACGATCTTCCTCTTCCCAATATTGACTAGAGTAACTGATGCTAACCAAACGTATAGCTTTTACATACTAGCATTGAACGCAGTCATATTTGGACTGACATTTTCGAGTTCCTACTCCTACACTCCAAGTATTCTTGTGGAACTGATTGCTTTAGAACGATTTACTATGGCTTATGGGCTAGTACTGCTATGTCAGGGACTTGGACATCTTATTGGCCCGCCTATGGCTGGTGAGTAAACTTTTAATCATCTAATAGTTTTTTTTAATGAATTTGAAGGGACAAATAAACTTAGAGTCTACTTAATGGTAAGTGGCTAACTAATATAGCCCTTGGATACTTGTAATCCACTTCAAAATAATACTATAGATGCGCTGTCGTCTTTGAGCACTGAGAAGGAATGGCTCGCGGTATAATGACTCTTTACTCTTCATACAGAACACAGCAATGCACGCAGTGTTCGGAGTCAGAATTGGCAGAAAATGAGATTTACAACCTAGTGGTGGCAATGTTTTTTTTTTTACAGGAGAAAGGGCAAACGAGCATACGGCTCACCTGATGGTAAGTGACTACCGCCGCCCATGAACAAGTTTTCTTTTTAGCTTATGGGATACAGTTTCAATAGTTCATTATTTGATGTTAAAATTTAAAACCGGTACAAAATTTACACGTGTACAACACGACAGCATCATGTCAGCGTTGCGACATCGGATTATTGTTACAAGCCGCGGAGGAAAGAGGAAATCAAATGCAAAACAACGTGTCATATGTCGATATCTTATCGCGTTATTTATTATTGTTAAGCTTGAATAGTCAGTGACTTACTAAAACACAAATTATTTGCACAGTAAAATTGCAGTAGGATTACAGAGTTTTGTTAAACAAATAATATTAAGCCTCATATGTGCAAGTGTGCCCGCTGTACAGTTCAAGCGCTTTATTAGAAACCGACTCTTTACTCTGTGGTTCAGTTGTCAATGTGGTTCCAGTACTACATTGCATATACCTCGTTCACATTATGCGCCTGCCAATGCAGGAGTGGTAACATCGAAAGCAATAACTGTTGACATACGTACTTACTTCGATTGGGCGTTTTTTCCCTCTCAATAACTGTCACTCGCCAAAAGTTCTAAAAACTTTAATATTTTAGTCGTTGCTACGTTTGCGTTATGGCAATACACGATTAAAACAGTGCGCATGTGCACTTTGCGGGCTTAGCGAACTGAGCGATAGAGCTGTATGTGAATACTCACTCGCAGTTGCGCTTTCCTATGTTTGATTTCCGGGCGAAAAACCGCCAATTTGGGAACGTACAGCAGCGTAATGTATTATCTATGCGGCAGCGCGAGCAGCCGCGGCAGGGGCAGGAGAAATGATCTATTTACAAAGTCCACCCCTTTATACGAGTATTGTTTTATAATATCCCTAGTAAGCAATAAATAATCAATAAATAAATAAAATACTCGCGCTGTCCACTTCAATGCTAACTTCCCTGCTCACTGCTGTGGGAATGAGCACAATGTAAATGTGGCAATACTAAATGCCGCATTTAGTATTGTTAGGTTAGTTACTGCTATTGTAATATTTCAGTATAAAGTAACACTTTAAATATTTTTCTACGCAATATATTTCAATCCAAACGTATAAATTTCCCGACAAATAAACAAATGCTGATTTTTTTTTGCTACATTAAAAATATATTTTTTTATTTTCAGGTGCTCTCAAAGACAGTACCGGATATTGGGACGCAGCGTTTTACGTTGCCGGTATATGGGTCGTTGTCTCTGGTTTGTTAGTGGGAGTGATACCATACACAAAGAACTTCCGCATATGTGGTAACGCACCGCTAGCTAAAGACGCTGCGGGTGAACCCGACCCTGGAGTTAAAATTATTATCGCCCACTAAATTATTTAGCAAATTATTATTATTAAAATGGCAGTGAATATTAAAGTAGAATCTTCTTTTATTGCTTTAAAGGTGCGAATTTTTATGAATAGTTTAAATTAAAAAAAAAAAAACATATTTTTAATTTTTTATATTTTTACAAGCTGAATAAAATGTGTCGAAAATATACATAGTATGTAACGGTAATTTCTATTTAATAGTGTATATTTTTGTTTTTATTATTTATTAATTACTTTGAGAACAGTGTGGAGTTTCATTAAATTTAATAAGTAGTATAAATATTTTACTTTCTTATAAGATTCTATTCTATCTTATAAGACAAAAATACTTTGCAGAAAGTAAAATGTAGTATGGAATGTTTTTTATGTTTCTCCATATTTAATTTAGTATACTAAGAATGATCCTACTATTTTAAAGTTGGTATGAGAAACAATGTGTACGTGCCATTTGAATACCTTAGAAAATTATCATTTAACTACCTATATACTTACCATAAAAAATATTAAATTGCCAAAAGGAACATCGATTTACTATATTATATATTTGTATGAGGATCTTAAAAGTATTGTAGCTTAAGTTTTTTGAATCTACTTAATTGTATGAAAATACACTAGTTTTAGGAAGTGTTTTTATGTATTTCCTTAAATTGATACATTAAAAGCAAGTTGAAAACAATACAAGTCTTTTTTTTTTACATTTTCTGTGGGTAGGTATATATTTGTATTTACCGATTTACATTTGTTCTTGTAATTGTTCTTGAAATAAGACTTTTTTTAAAAATATGGAATAAGGTGACAAACAAGTAAATAGCCCACCTGATGGTAAGTGGGTGCTCTGGCCTATAGACATCTACATCTATCCTCAATTAAGAATCAAAATACAGATGATTTGTCACCCCTGAGGACTGAGCTAGAATGCCTCGTAACCAGTAAAAGGAATCTCTGATTCTCTACACTCACCATACAAAACAGCAGCATTGAGCTGATATTTTACGCCGGTATTCTGCGAGAACGCGGTCCTTCCCCGGCTGAGCCGACCCATTCGTGCTACAACTATAATATTATCACTGCATCATGGCTCTACCACGTATACACGTTAGAAAAGTGGCATGATGCGCTCACGAGTGTTTTCATAACTGCTTCATTAAACACTATGTGATTAGACCTCTTCTTAGATTGCCTCACAGGTGGAATATATTATAATATTTGCCATTGTCGCGACGTGTGGCAGGCGTATTTGCAACCGCAGTTTTTTTTAATAATTTTGAGTTGTTACTAGGACTATACCGCCGTGTAGTGGCGGTTAAGAATATCCACTACCCCATATCTTCCCGTGGGTGTCGTAAAAGGCGACAAAGGGAAACAGGCAGAAATTGGGCAGCAGCATCTTCCTGATAACAGCAAAATTACAATAAATAACTGCGGTTGCCAACTCGCTCGCCAAGCGTGGCAACTATGGCAAATACTCCCCTATGATGAGAGTAACAGTTTTTAACAGTGGTAGAGCCACGCGGCAGCATTTGCAGTCGCACAGATGAGCCGGCTCGAACCGGGGTGGTACCACGACCTCACAGAATACCAGCGTGAAATAGAAGGTTTACCTCTGCGTTTCGCTTGGTGAGTGCAGGTGGCCGGAGGCCCTTTTAACTGGAAATGAGGCATTCCATCTTAGTCCTCACGGGTAACAACGCATCTGTATTTTGATTTGTAGTAGAGGATAGATGTAGATGTCTATGGGCCGCAGCAACCACTTACCATCAGGTGGACTGTGTGCTCGTTTGTCACCCTTATCCTATAAAAAAAAGTAACAAAGAGACGGCCCCCAGTCCCCGGCGGCCTCGCTATTCCTGGGTACGGTGGCGACCATGGTAACGGCGGGGCAGGGGGTGCTAAGAATCTCCGGTGGAGGTTCGGTTGCCACCTAAGACGACTCGACCCGGCAACATACAACGCACGCACCCTGAGGACTGACGAGAAGATCGTGAAGCTGGAAGGAGAGATAGACAAGTTACGCATATTATAGGATTATCCGAGGTCCGAAGAGAGGGGGAGGACACGGTAACACTCTATCACCGAGAGGGCGACCATCTGTCCCAAGGAGGTGTCAGATTTATCGTCCACATGTCTCTCGCTAACAACGTTGTAAAGATTGAGAGTGTGTCGACGAGGGTTGCGTACCTACTCAGAATCACCAAACGGTATTCGCTGAAGGTCATACAGGTTTACGCACCAACCTCGGCACACCGCGATGAGGAGGTGGAGGAAATGTATATCCTCATATCTCTAGAGCCATGAATACATGGAGGAATGCCTCCAAAACCCACTATACGGTGTTAATGGGAGACTTCAGTGCAAAACTAGGCACAAGAGAGAACGGTGAGCGGAAAGTAGGGAAATTTGGAATAGGGTAACGGAACCGAAGGGGCCAGCAGCTGGCCGACTTCAAGGAAAAAGAGGGACTGTTTATGATGAACTCTTTGTTCCAGAAGCGGCCCCACAGGAAGTGGACCTGGTCGAGCCCCGACGGTTCCATAAAAAATTAGATTGACTTCATTATGACGACCAGACGACAACTGTTCAGTGAAAATTGGTAGCCATCACCGAATGGTTAGAGGCAAACTGAACCTAAACGTTAAGTTGGAGAGGTCTCGTCTAATGAAGTCAACGCTCCGGCCCCCTCGCGCTCTCTTCCAAAGCCCCGAAACCTTTCAGCTCGAGTTACAAAACCGTTTTCAGTGCCTAGAAGACTGCAATGAAGTGGACGATATGAATGACAAGCTCGTGGAAACTGTCCATGCGGTCGGAGCTAAGTTCTGCAAGACCCGCCGCAGAAGAACACAAAAACTCTCCGATCACACTCTTAATCTCATGGCTATTAGACGGGAGATGAAGCTACATTCTTCAACAGATTTGACAGCATACAGGCAGCTGAACAGACAGATCTCCAAATGCATGCGGCAGGACTTGCGCAACTTCAATACAGCTTGTATTGAAGAAGCGATCGAGCGGAACCAAGGCTCCAGTCTTTGCCAGAGATCTGTCTGCCAGAAAGAGCCAACTGTCAAAGCTGAAGACCGAGTGTGGCAGCATCGTTTCCGGGACATCTGAGATTTTGAGTGAGATTGAGAGGTTCTATGGGCAGCTGTACATGTCATCGTTGGAGCCACACGCAAGTGTGAGTAATGATACAAGAGCGAGTCTTATCCGACACTATTCCGAAGATATCCCAGACGTCAGTCTGCGCGAGATTAGAATGGCTCTCCAGCACCTTATAAACGGAAAGTCCCCGGGCGAGGATGGAATTACAGCGGAGCTTTTGAAAGCGGGTGGAAAACCGGTACTTGAAGTCCTTCAGAAGCTCTTTTACTCCGTCCTCCATGGTGGCACTACTCCGGAGCCATGGAGCAGAAGTGCGGTGGTCTTGTTCTTCAAGAAAGGCGACAACGCTCTCTTGAAGAACTACATACCGATTTCCCTTCTGAGCCGCGTCTACGTGCTGTTTTCGAGAGTCATTACGAATCGTTTCCCACGCAGACTTGATGACTTCCAGCCTGCTGAACAAGCCGGTTTCCGAAAAGGTTTAGTACCATAGACCACATATACACACCCTTCGGCAAATTGTACAGAAGACAGAGGAGTATAATTTGCTACTTTGCCTTGCGTATGTGGACTATGAGAAAGCTTTTGATTCCGTCGAAATTTGGGCGGTGCTGCAGTCCCTTCAGCGGTGCCAAGTTGACTGTCGGTATATCAAAGTGCTGAAGCGTTTGTACAGTAGAGCTACGATGGCTATCCAAGTACAGAATCAGAGTACAAAACCTATCCAACTGCAGAGAGGTCTAAGACAAGGTGACGTTATATCGCCGAAACTCTTCATCGCTGCTTTGGAAGACGTTTTCAAGCTGCTGGACTGGAAAGGATGCGGTATTAACATCAATAGCGAGTACATCACTCACCTTCGATTTGCCGACGATATAGTCCTTATGGAAGAATCGCTGGAGGACCTAAGCACTATACTCAATGACCTCAATATTGTCTATCAACGGATAGTTCTTAAGATGAACATGGACAAAACGAAAATCATATTTAACGTCTATGTCACACCTATGCCGGTAGTTGTTGGGAGCACTAAGCTCGAAGTTGTTGACGAGTATGTTTACCTGGGACAAATAGTCCCGACTAGGTAAGTCCGACTTCGACCGAGAGGTCAATCGACGGATTCAACTCGGCTGGGCAGCGTTCGGCAAACTATGACACATCTTTCATTCGTCAGACATACCTCAAAACCTTAAAACGAAATTGTACAACCAGTACGTGTTGCCAGTGATCACTTACGGATCTGAGACGTGGTCCTTCACTGCTGGCCGTATGAGGAAGCTCTAGGTCGCTCAGCGAGCTATGGAGAGGGCTATGCTCGGTGTTTCTCTGCGTGATAAACTTAGAAATGAGGATATCCGCAGTAGAACCAGAGTAACCGACATAGCCCAACGGATTATTAAGCTGAAGTGGCAGTGGGCCGGCCATATAGCTCGAAGAATTGACAACCGATGGGGAAGAAAGGTTCTCGAGTGGCAGCCTCGTATCAGTAGGCGAAGTGTAGGGCGACCCCCCACGAGATGGAGTGACGACCTGGTAAGACATGCAGGAAGTCGATGGATGCAGGTGGCTCAGGACCGTGCTTTGTGGCATTCCTTGGGGGAGGCCTATGTTCAATAGTGGATTTAGGCTGTAATGATGATGACTGTAATGATGGCTGTAATGATGATGACTAGGACTATACTGTTGCCAATTTCCTGTTTCAGTTATTCTCTATCGTCTTATGACACCCACGGGTGATAATGAGGTAGTGGAATTTTTTCTTTATTTAAACAGGAAGGGGGCAAACGAGCATTCAGCTAACCAGATGGTGAGTGACTACCACCGCCCATGAACAACTGCAACACCAGGGGAATTGCAGCTTAGCCGGCCTTTTAGAAAAGAGTAAGCTCTTTTCTTTAAGGT